TGTTTCGGCCCACCAGGCGATACCGTATAGACACTATTCCACCGAAAGGAAGCTACTGAGCACACTGAGCACGCAAAAACTTTGCCGGTCTGCCAGCCAACCGGCTGGATAAAGAAGGCCTCGATTTTATGACTTGTGCGCCGAATCGCAGAACTACATGTAGGTATTTCGTAAAATATAATGGCTACTGGTTAAGGTTATTGTTTCATAAAGCCACCATAGCTGCGGGGTAGGCTGGCAATACCTAGGGTTTCGATGCAGCTGCGCATGATCGATTTTTGAGCTGAAATAAAAAGTAACAAGCCTAAGACTCGTCAGCTTCAGAATAAGAAATTGTTACTCCATAATACACGTATGCACATAGCTAGATGTAGTCCCGTAGAGTCTTCTACCTTCATACTTCCAATCAACTACATATGTACTCTTCATACGTATCTAAGTCAACGCGGTGTAACTGCGAGTGATCCCTCATGACCTCAAGCAACCCACCGGTCTAGATCCGAAATGACGTGCAGTAGCTTATCGTTAAGCATAGACAAGGCGCGGGCGCCCTCATGCACGTGCGCCTCGCGATTTTGGCTTAATCCCCCAAGCCATCTCGCTATTTTCATGCCGGTTCGGGCTTCTAAGTTAGTAAGTGACCGTGACGCGTCTCTCTCCCAAAAGCCTGAGCGTGGGAGGGAAACATCTTAGCTAGTGCTTTGGCAAGACCCGTCCCAAATTTGTTTGCTCGGCCCATTAGTATTTGTGCTCGGGCTTAACAGACTTCTCGGGAACGGTTTGTCTTGTCTCGGGAGGGAGGGATTAAGCAACACTGGAATTGGGGCAAACGTTAGTGAAGGAGCGTCTTGGCGGCACTTGGTTCATAAAAAGGTTACGTATATCTAGCTATCAACCCACGACTCTAGATACCCTCAAATTTCAATTAGAAAAATGATATGACACCCATTGAAGGAAATTTCCCACGATTGACTTCAGTTTATGGCGTTTAAAACCTGGGGCGCTCACCGATGTGTGTAGAGTAGAGACAGCCATACCCTCCGATTCTAGCTAGGCATTGACAACGATTTGAATTTTGATATCTGAGGTGCGATTATCCTCAGATTCTTATGCGCTAGTTGTGACCAATAGGGCGTAAGGGCGGAAATCATTTCCATCGGAACTCGTGCCGAATTCCTATTGACCAAGACTATTGATGAGTTTCCCGTATGTAATCCGATCGATCTCGAGGCTGAGAACTAAGGACTATATGGATGTCTTTGGCTCTTAAGCTTTGTTAAGAGTGATAATTGAACTGGGTCATATGCTATCACTCGACGCGATAAAATGAGACAAGCTGGATGTTTGTTTGATTGATTACTTCATTGTATAGACAAGCTGGATGTTAAATTCAACGTCACAAAGTTAGCATTCTGAAACTGGCACCAATAGAATCATATGCGCACCACTTATCAAACACATGTCAAATATGATATGATACCTAGTTTTCATATCACAAAGTCGGAGTTGCAGTGACCGTGACCTACTCGCCAAAAAATAAAGTCTGGCGGTGAAATAAGTACCGTTGCAACGCAGCCATTCGGCCAGGTACTTAATTCACCCCCAGACTTTGTTTTTTGGCGAGTAGTGTGATCCACACGAAGACGAACACCTTTGTATCCCTGCCTTGAGTATAGGGCCGAATATCGCCACTCAATTATATTGAAACCTCGCCTTGGGGGACCTCGTGAAGAGTCGTGGTTGGACCAGAGTCGGATAGGAGTCGGAGTTGGAGTCTAGTGCAGCGGTGATGGGATACCTAGTTGGGTTCTATCGTTAGTTAATGATCTGTTGTATATATGTAAGTAGATATGTAGAGTACATACAGCTAGTGCCTTAACTGTGGGGCTTTCCTCGGTTTATTGATTTGCCCGGATTAATTCCGACGAAAAAGATGCAAGGAGCTAGGAGCAAAGGACAAGTTTGGGATTCAATGATTGGGTTGATAGAGTACTCTCGGTACGTCCATGTAGGGTACTTTCCCGCATTTTTATCACGACCTGTCACCCCCGAGAAATAAACTTATGCATTCATCCGCACGTACCTTCCCGCGCCCATAATCCGTGAGAAAATAATCTAGAGCCTCTTTATGTGTGGTCCACCAGGCATTGACCACGAGGCCCCTACCTCGAGGGAGCTTAAGGCATGGGGGTCCACAAGGCGAGCATATTCGAGGCGAACTCTCCTGCTCGTCTCGAGCTGCTCGAGGTTTAGGTAATCATAGTATTAGTGGCATGTATTCAGTGGGATTGATATTTCCGATATCGAACATTCTAGCTCTACTCTAGTACAGTGCATGCGCAGATAATTACTATAGTTTCAACAGCAAAAGACAACTTTGATAGGTCTAAATATATTAATTATCTGCTTCGAGCAGCTCGAGCACATAGAGGCATCACCTCTGCTTGCATGAGAAAGCAAAGGTATGAGGCACCTCGAGCAGCCTCGTGGACCACATTAGGCCCCGGCCCCGGCCCTCATACACTGGTATACGCTTGCAATTTATGGTGCAATAGGGTGATATCTCATGTCTAAATGTGATTGTACCTACATGTAGTTTCGATGTTCCGATGACAGGTCATATTGATACGCTCTTCTCTATATAGCTCTCAAGTAAATTCTGTTCTAAGCTAGCATGTTCATAGACATTAATATTAATAACCTACCATTCAGCAGACAAAAGCAACAGATGGGTTGAACCAATTTTTACGCATCATAGATATATGAGTTCAAGTCGATTTCACAAGAAGGTTCACCAATATGCACTCTTCACGCGAATTTCTAAGCGGAGTATTGTCATTTTTTGATTTCGGCAAGCTGATTTCTGCTTTCACAAAAAAGGGTATCGCAGGTTCACTCAACATGTGCTAAAGCCATCTTTCTTTAGCTGGGAAGCCGGATTTAGCGTACAGTTCCCCCGAGAGGCATCATCGTAGCATACAGTAGGTCGACTATATTAATGTAAAAAAAAAAAGAACAAAGTAAGAAAAACGCTCTTGATTCTAGTTCTGCCCATTTAAGCGGCAGTGGTTTTCTCCTTGGGAAGAGGAGTGAAGCGGAGGTATGGCTTGACAATGCGGAAGTCAGGGAAGAGCTCCTTGGCGAGCTCGTTGCTGACGCCGGGGTGAACAATGACATCATCACCAGGGACCCAGTTGATGGGGGTGGTGATACTATGCCATGTCAGTAAGTGATATTTCATGATTTAACTGGTGAATATGGGCTCTTACCGGTGCTTGTCACCAGTCTGGAGAGAGTCAACAATTCTCAAGACCTCGGCGGCGTTACGGCCGGTAGATGCAGGGTAGGAGAGAATGGTACGGATAGTCTTCTTGGGGTCAATAATGAAGACAGAGCGGATGGTGAAGGCAATGCCCTTAGAGTCGACGTTGGTGGTGTCCTGGTGGTCGATCCTGTTTGGAAAGATAATTAGCAACATGGATGTTAAAATTTGGTACGAATAGGGTAAAAGCTTACATATCATAGGCCCATGAGATCTTGCGGTCCTTGTCACCAATAATAGGGAACTTGAGGGTGGAGCCAGAGATCTCATCGATATCCTTGATCCACTCGCCGTGGGACTGGATGGTGTTTGCTGAGAGACCAATGAGCTTGACGCCGCGCTTGCTGAACTCGGGCTCGAGCTTTGCGAAAGCACCCAACTCAGTGGTGCAGACGGGAGTGAAGTCTTCAAAGATATTAGTAAATAATATGAGGTATGAAGTATGATTGGAATAGACATACCCTCGGGGTGAGAGAAGAAAACGACCCAGTTGTCGCCAATGAAATCGTGGAACTTGATGTTACCCTATTGCAAAAGAAGTTTAGTTAAAGCTGAAGATGTCAACTAAGGAAAAACAGAAAACTAACGTTGGTGGTCTCAGCCTCGAAATCAGGAGCAATGCTTCCAAGACGGAGACTGTGTTGGTAATAGATAGTTAGTGGATTTGATTTAGATAGATCTTTCACGAGAAGGAGAGCTTAAACATACGGAGCAGCACGTTCTTCAGCCATTTGTTTGAGTAAGTTAATTGGAGATGAGTGGATGATGTTTGTAAAGAAATGATGCGAGAAGTGCAAGTGATAAAGGAAAGGGTGGATTATAAAGAGGGGCAGAGAAAAAAAAACTTCCCCCACTATATTAACTTTCTGCCCCGCCATCGCGCACGCAATACACTGTTTGGATGGTTCGAACATGTCATGCTTGGAACCAGTGTGCCGGGAAATCGCATCATCAGGGACTCTGTTTATTGGCTGGTTTAGACGTTCTTGCATCCTTTTAAAGAGCCGCACGTTACTTGTTTGGGCCAAACGGCGATATATCACCAAGAACAGACTGTTTTAGACCTTTCCGGCTACAAAAAGACAAATTTGCCACATTATAAATAAATGTATATAGCTTGGCTACGCAGATCTCATATTCTTTAGTCCTCGCACTCCCACCTCACAACAAATTGAGTTCAGCATTCAAGTTCTTTCTTTCAGGGGCTTATTTGAGTTCCTTATCATCGACAACTCTATTTCACTAATCTCAAAGTTCGAAAACCTAATGGATGCTCTGACATATTCTTATCATAAGCTCTTGCACTCCATGTCTATTCAACTACCGTCCTCCGCATGTACCGCAGCGTCATCCATTGGGTTTTTCTTCAGAAGTTTCTGTCGGAGTTATGCGTCCTACCCGCACATGTACATAACATAGCGTTTTTAGCGTCCTATTCGCGCCCCACTCCTGAAATCCGAACTCCAATTGCCGATGATAGTCAAGAGATAGCCGAGTAGCTCAAAAATGCTTCTGGAAGGTGTCCGCGAAAAAATAAAAAAATAAAAAAAGACAAGGGCTCTGCAATCCTTCATAACTCGTGCCCTCTTTCCTTCTACAGTTGTGCTAAGAGCTTCTTCAGTATTTCTTTGGTTTCTTTGACTTAGCGAAGAAAACCGTGGTCAATCGTCTTTCAACAATGACGCAGGATACACTCCCTCAAAGGTCTTCAGAAATTGTTCAACACGCCCATCACACAAACTACCCAGCAGTTGAAAATAACTTCGAGCCCGAGCTTTCAAAATCTGGACAGCAGTCTTCACAGACGTCAACAAACACCGTGCAGAAGACATATAGGTATCTTGAATGGAGCACACTGCCCAGCGATATTTACCCATTTCCCGAGAGGCTTCCAGCCTCAGTGATGAAGCAGACCGACCCTTTCACATGGAAAAAAGAGCATAAGAGCATGATATTGGCATTGGCTTGTTTTTCAACAGGGATGACGGCGTACGCTGCAGGGGCTTATACAAGTGGAATTAGCCAGATGTCAGAGGAATGGGGAGTTGGCAGGACTGCATTGTTGGTTGGAGTGACTACATATACGACAGGCTTTGCAATTGCACCGCTATTTCTAGCACCTTTGTCAGAGGTACGGCTTTTCTTACGAGACAAACATTTTACACTATATGTAGCAGTCAGAGGGGTTTTCAGTGACGAACATGAGAATGAAAACTCGTATTGAAGCTTGAAATTGATATGAACGGCTGTTTTTACGTTTCTTCAACATTAAACCTGACCCTGGAATGATGTACTGATAATATACTTTAGGTGTACGGAAGAAGACAAGTTTTTCTATGGACATTCGGATTATTCAACAGTCAGTTGCCCCTTCCTTGATAGCCAAATTCTGGGTTTCTGACACGGAAGTTGCAGTATGCCACCTTTCATCTGCACTTTGTCATAGCTATCCAGGTATGCTGGTAGCGCGTTTCTTTCTAGGTGTTGGCGGATCTACATTCAGCACGATGGTAGGTGGAATTATCTCAGATATTTATCACGCACCAGATCGTGGTCTTCCCATGAGTTTGTTTTCGACTTGTGGGTTGGCCTTTACTGGCGTAGGACCTCTAGTTAGCGGTTTCGTGAATGACAACCTTTCATGGCGATGGATTCACTGGATACAATTGATACTTAATGGTATTGCTATGCCGATCGCCTATTTTGTCCTCAAAGAGACTAGAGGGAGTGTCCTACTCAGTCGTAGAGCAAGAGCGTTGAATCGTTGGCTAGATGAAAACGAGGAGTCGGAGGAAGGACAAAAGGAGTTGGAAAAAGCCGGGGGAATGAGAGTTAGATGGAAAGTACTCGCAGACGAAGAAAGAGAGAGCATGGCAATAGTAATATCAGTTTCATTAACTCGGCCCTTCCGCTTGCTTTTTACCGAGTCAGTGGTTTTCTGGTTTAGTATGTGGGTGTCATTTGCTTGGGCACTTTTATTCCTGTAAGTTTCTTTTGTTCAACCTTGCTTATATCATGAAGCGTTGAGAATTGATACCTAATGTTGTGTGGTCAAAGATTCCTCCAAGGTGTTCCTCTAGTCTTCAAAGAGAACCACGGATTCGATACTTCACAGACTGGAATGGTTTTCATCGGTAAGTCAAAATACATTTCGCAGCAAGCTTATCATATCTTTGATTAGATCCAGCTAACATTTGGTTACCAGCAATGATTGTTGGTACTCTTATCGCACTTGGCCTTAATACATTGATAGAATACTTCACAAAGAAATATTTTCTGGCAGGAAATGCCCAACCAGATCCTGAATGGAGATTGTATTCTAGCTGCATTATCGGATGTTGTCTCCCGATTGGAATGTTTTGGTTTGGTTGGACATCATTTTCATCGCAACATTGGATCCTCCCAAGCATGGGAGTTGGATGTGCCACGATTGGGATATATGCCATCTATCTCGCTGTATTCAATTACCTTGCAGACGTATACCACCGCTACTCTAGCAGTGCAATTGCTGCTCAAAGTTTTTGTATTCACCCCATACAAACATCTACTTGAAAGGAGAACTAACAATAGATCTCAGGTCGTAATATGCTTGCCGGATGTTTCCCCTTGGTTACGAACGCAATGTTTCATCGTATGACCTTTGCAGGGGCCTCAAGTTTTCTTGGGGGAGTTGCGGCATTGTTAACAATTGTGCCATGGGTCTTGGTATTCTTCGGAACTAGGATTAGAGCACGGAGTGCGTTTGCTAAGGTGTGTATAACTGTCCCGTTTATCTTGGAATTATTGGCTGATTCAATAAATAGGAAATCATGGCAATTTAAAGGACCCTAGCACGATCGATATATCATCATGGCTTGTAAGCAATTTATAGACCGTTCGAATTGCTTTCACAAGTCATGTAAGACTTTGAAGTTACTATTTTTAGGAGAAGACGGGATATTAAAGACATGCCGGTTTCAACGCCTTGATGTCTAAGTTACGCCTAAGCTGGGTTACTACGGTGATTATTGGATAGTTAATTTAGAATGAAGTAGTCATTCAAGGAGGGATAATTATAAACTTATGGATACTAAGTAATACGGAGAAGAGATGGTATAATGTTTTTATAATGATTAAACGCAGATTTCTTCAGAGGCATTAAGCTGAGAAGTTTTTGAGAGGAGTAGATCGGAAGCGTGTGCACATATGAAGACGTCTCTCCTTGTTTTTCAAGGAATTCTAATTGCGGGGAAATCACATGAAACCTGGGGTACTGTGCATAGATCTTATCAGCATTTGTAACTACACCATTTCCAAACCCCGAACTTGTGGCAAAAAGCATCCTGGCTTTTAAAAACCACGTCCTCTACAGACATCTGTGTTGCTCGAGCTTCGCAAATAGGAAATAGGAACAGAGCGCTTAATGTCTATTCTTTCTTTTGTATGCGCCAAGGAAGCTACTGTAATACAAGCTGTCAGTTGCTAGGTCACTTGCCACAGTTTCTTAAATAGCCCCAGACCAACTGCGCGAGTATTGATTGATTGATTGATAATTCATTAATTGAACCGCACGAGTACGTATATAAATCCAGCCCAGAGATACTTTCATATCTAGAGTATTTTTAACAGCTGAGTACATATAGTTAAACGGTTGACCTAAACTACGTACCCATCGAATTGCCGCAGGAGCTTTTAATCACAGAATATCACTCGCATAACAACTGCGCGACTATTGACCGCAAGCCACAACGTGGTATCTCAATTTATAAATACAACTACATCTGCCTAACATATCAAGCTATATATGTGTTGCAAGGGTTGCAAGATTTTCATAAAGTAATAATCTAGAGGCGCTAGAAAAACCTCACATGGAAGCTAGAAAGTGCCCGAGCCCTCAAAATGAAAGGAAACCAAGCGGCACAAGACAAGTCTTGTCGAGATTTTGTCTCAGGCTACTAAACAAAACAACGAATGGCTGTACTGGGGTAATAAAAAATAATACAGAACGTGAACTATCCGGTCATGAGAGTTTTCGAAAATGCGAGTGATACCCCATGCTCCAAAATCAGCTACAAATCTATGTGCATGTACTAGCATAAATATTACTCTAAACAGATTTATTTGTTAAAGCTAGGCGCTGACTCGGTCACTCTTTCAATTATCTGAAAAACGCTATAAGCTTAGAGGTTTTGCGTGTCACACAGGTAGCCTATATATGGCCAGGTATTGCCAATTTCAAGACGCTTCTTTGAAGTTGCCAAAAGGTTGGTTCTATATATGTTTGAGTGATTAACATTAATGAATAATTGTGAAGGATTCTGGGAGTACACATATGCTTCCCTAAACGTTAAAGCCAAAAATGAATAATCTTTTTGGAATTAGTCCAAAGAGAGTCTTCCAGTGCCGCTTCCGAAACGAAGTAAGATATCTAATATATCCAAATACATTTACAGTTGACGCGTTACTTTCTCAGAAAGCAACAGCGTGGAGCTTCAGTCTGGATAGGGCGCCCTCTGATCATTCCGCGGTAGCATACATGTATGTATGGTCACCACCCAACTGGGTGCCCAAACTCGATTCAAATACTCAGCACAACGTATCTTGGATGTGTTATAAAATAACAAACCATTCTATGATCCATCATGTGTTGGCTGGTTATCGGAGTTGTGTTATACGTTAAATCGTACTCGGATTATCAAAAACACACAGTGATGAAAATCAACATGGAATTTTCACACCTGTGGAGACATCGGGATTAGTTTATCAAATCGGGGTATACATAAAAAGAACTATAACGTACCACGTGTATGTGCCTTGATGGCATGAACTTACTTGTACCTGTCCTCTAGATCTATCAATACAAATCCATCATCTGTGAAGCTATTAGGACCGCTAAAGTCTGAGTTATCTCATGTCTAGAACTCTGGTGTTGCATGTTGAGGTGAGTCTATTATATTAGGTAATTAGATGGAGGGGAAAACCATTCGATCTGTATGCGAATGAGTGGATCTACTGTAGAAGAGACAGATATACGGAAGAGAAGCATGTACGCACGTCAGCAGTGCACTAGCCCTTGATCATGAGCACTGATTGGTGCAATGGGTTAGGGTTACTATATTCCCTTGTCCCATAGGATAAGGGTTGTTTTTACAAATATGATAGGTTATTTACGACCTCTCCTCATCAACAATTAAGCTCCACGTGCAGGAGAATAGATTGCAATCTTAGAATTAAGCAGCTTCTCCTTCCCTCATCCAGTGAGGGAGGCTAAGCAATGCTGATGAAATCTCGACAATTTAATTCTTTGATCTAAGTCAGGGCACGGAACCGACCAAGCCCACTCTATTTGAGACAGCTCTTGACGCTGCGCTGCCCCTAACCTTGGAAGTTCACCCGTTACTGAATATCTGAACCACATCGCGGATTCGGCCTGATATCAACCGGAGATGTATCGTAGCTTGGCGAGGAATCACCAGATTTACTCAGCGTTCAATAATCATTATTCTACTGCATCGAGCCCAGATTGCAGTTCAGCAAGAGGCCAATTCAGTGAAGCCGGCGCTTGACAAGGTTCGGGGCTCACATCCCCGCAACGTTTACGTTCGTTATCTGGGGGTTTGAAGTAGATTTCAACCCACGATACCCCACCGGATTACTCGAAATGGAATCCAGACCGAGTTCCTTCTGAGACGTTGGTGTTTTGTGGGGTTTGTGGGGGTGCTACCCATGTGCATGTGCAACGCACGGCACCCATGTGACGTAGATGCGCTAAGAGACAAGCGAGTGCAAGCTAATATCTAACGGAATTCAAACCGTTTTGTGAAAACCAAGTCGAGACTTCTGTTCGAAAGTTTTTTTCAAATTGGAGCATTCCATAATTTTAGACCTAGGTTTCGAGGGCCGTAGTTGAATACATATGTACCTACATACTGCCTATGATTTGTTAGATAAACGTGTGGATGCCAATTATAGAAGGAGGACTTTGCAGGAAACGATGGTAAAGCTGTAGCACAAGATTCTGCAGATGATTTATGTATCAGGTCATTCCGTGGATTTTGAATTACTTTCACCGGACATACTACGTTTTGGGCGCCAATAGCTTCCACTTACTTTTTGAGAGAAGACCCAAGGACACGATTCCTCCACGCTATCTATTATTTTAATCCCCTCCTTGTCTGAGCTGCCGGGTGTTCCACGGCAATTGGCTTCTTAGAAACCTAGCGCAATCAATTTCTCCTCTTTTACATAAATACTCATCAAATAGCCCCCCTCTATACAAGCCGAGTTCGCACACAGTCACCCATCAGCTATCATAACATCGAATTCAAAAGCTTTTGCTGAACTACACCCTATACACTCTCGCAAATCCATTCAAGAGACACAATGAGCTATAGTACTCGTATCACCCCACACTTTATGCGAGCTCTCAGGCAGAATGGAACGATAGCTTCGCGGAGACCACTCCTCTTCAATGCTACCACAACTGTCAGATCATTCTCGGTCTCTGCCAAATTCATGAGGGGTCCACCAAAGGCTCCTGCTCAAGAAGCCGACAACCTGCGAACCGGGAATGAGGCACCCACTTTCCTCGGTACACAAAAACGTCTTCCTGAATTCAATCTGGTCGATAGAGTTGTGCTTGTTTCTGGTGGAGCTCGTGGCCTGGGATTGGCACAGTCAGAAGCTCTTCTTGAAGCTGGGGCTAAAGGTTTAAACTTAGATCACCATCTAAACTTCGTTTTGAATTACTAATGCTGATTTATATTCTAACCATAGTCTATGCACTCGACAGACTCGAAAAACCGAGCCCTGAGTTCTACCACGTTCAAGCCAAAGCTCAGAAAGAACTTGGAACATCATTACACTACCACCAAATCGATGTTCGTGACGAAGTCAATCTCAACAAAACAATTGAGAAAATTGGGAAGGAGAATGGTCGGTTAGATGGGCTGATCGCAGCAGCTGGTATCCAGGAAGAGATTACTGCTTTCGACTATAATGCGGCAGATTTCAACAGGATGTTGGAGGTCAATGTCACTGGTGTATTCCTTACGGCTCAAGCAGCTGCCAAACAAATGGTCAAGTTTGGAAATGGAGGTAGCATTGTCATGATCGCTTCAATGTCAGGCACAATTGCGAATAAGGTAGGGAGCCGCCTTTGGGTTTTCCGGCTTTGTAGATACTAACTCAGAAATCAATCAGGGACTTGCTTGCCCTGCCTACAACACCTCTAAGTCGGCTGTTCTTCAATTGGCCCGCAACCTGGCCGCCGAATGGGGCACCCATGGAATCAGGGTAAACACAATCTCTCCTGGATATATTCTAACAGGGATGGTGGAGAAACTCTTCGTAAAGTTTCCGGAGAGGAAAGCGGAGTGGTCAACGCAGAACATGCTAGGAAGACTCAGTCAACCTAAGGAATATCGGTAAGAAACGTCTCCTACACGCCTTCCAATAATTGCTGCTGACAATTTTATTTCACTCTTCAGAGGGGCGGCAGTCTTTTTACTTAGTGATGCGAGCACGTTCATGACTGGTGCAGATCTTATCATGGATGGAGGACACCACTCTTGGTAATAACGCAATGGGAATCAGAACGATTATTATTTTCATTGGGCTTGGCGCGCATAACGTGGAATTTTTGGTGTTTGAAGTCGGTTAAATTAGCATTCTGGAATATTTCAATTGATTTATTAAAAAAAAAAAAATGCGGATCGAAGCTATGTACTTGGCGGTGTACGTTGCGTTAACCACTAGTACACTAGTACGCCAATTCAATCGAGGTTTCACATCTTACATAGGATCTCTCCTGCGGAGAAGCTGGTGGTTCGGGATGCAAGGGTTCTCCACTTCTGACCCGATGCTTAAGCTTAACCATTGACTGTGACTCGAGTGCAACATGCATCACTGTCCAGGCGGAATTTTACCTTCAGGCTTCAGAGGTAGTTCGATTTAATAACCTTTATTGTAGGGTGAAAGTAGAGAGCATATATCTAGACTCTATCGGAGTGGAGTACTACTGATACACATATGTGATTCAATTGATGATCTAGCTATGTGTGTACAGGTCTATCCCTTAAACCGTCAGGCCGAATTGAAATGGCAGCTGTTAACCACATTCAGTAAACATGATGGATTGAACGCTGGTTTCAGTCATACCCTCACACCACCTGCTTATCAGATACATGGTAGATCGTACTAGATATCTTCACTTGCAGAGTTCAATCCATCATGTTTACTGAATGTGGTTAACAGCTGCCATTTCAATTCGGCCTGACGGTTTAAGGGATAACGACTTATTCTGCCTCACGATTCCTTCTAGTAGAGGGACCCGAATCGCGGTTTACCCATTCTACTCTAGTAACAATCCTATGGCCGGCTTTTTTTTTTTTTTTTTTTGTAGTGTTCAAGTAGAGTACTTAGGTAGAGTACTAGTATCTTCCTGACGTTTTTGAACTGGGCCATTATTGCATACACCCAAAATCATGGCATGCAATATCAGTCGCGTCCACAAACGTCAGGAAAATACGAGTAATCTAAACTCGAGTAACCATATACATATGAAGTCCATACTGGCGGCTATTGGGAAAAATCCCCAAAGGACACTAGTAACGTGCCAAGTGAGATTTCATGACTGGCCATGGTGATTCTCGGATTTCCGTATCTAGAAACTGAGACCTACGAAGTCTGTACTACTCCATATGACTGTCTCATCCCTTCTATAATTAGATATCTGCTCTATCTACCTATGCGGTTCATCAAGATAAATCATTCTCTGCGCTACAGTTAGGTAGAGTAACCTGTATCACATTGTTGTGTGGCACAGATACGCTGGAATACCACTTACCCGTTGGTCAAGATGACCAAGAGTTACGCCTTGGGTCTGTCGGATTGAGGCTCAACACTCATTTGACCAATCTAAAGCCCAGTATTCCCAGTCCAGTTCGATTCGTTATTCCTAAGATTTTGCGGTATCTCAGCTTGAGATATCAATTCAACCTAGCCTTCTCCATAGAGTGAGCGGAGATTCAAAGTGCAAAAAAGTCATCTAACCTGTTTTATCCATGGATTCCTTTTCTTTTCTCTGACGCATGGCATATACGGAAGGATAACCTGTTCCCCCAACCAGTGAAGCATCTAATCGAGCATGGATCAGTACCTACATGTATGTACATTGAGAGACACGCGAGCGGACTCTTTTCAACTGCTAGTCAATTGAGCCAGCTAGCTATCCAGGCTGTTAGTTAATACAAAATCCCCGAATGTTCAGCTAGTAGTCAGTACTCGAGACGCCAGGTGTGGTACAATATGTAGATAAGCCAGACTTCACCTGTTTCCGGTCTACTGGTAAGCCTCCCCATTGGTAGACGCCAATAAGAATAGATCTAACGTCACACTAGTTTCCAATACGCAAATTACGAGGACGACGTGTGTATGTACATGTATGTACATACAGAAACAGAACTCACAGATAACCAAACCAAAATGTAGCGCGGACAGATCTAGAGGTGTGTTACTATGGCCGTTGTTTTCTCCAGAGCTCTTCTTGTTCCAGCCTGGGTTGTTTATCTAGTGTATGTGGACCCAATATACGCTCACAATATTATAGCGAATCACAAAAAGGTATGTTACCTTGCATTTCCCCATGCATCATGATTCTTCTAACGGCGCCTAACCCGCGTGGAACGGAACATACCTATATAATGCGGGCTTTTGTTGATTGATGAGCTTGCCTTTGGTCCACTAGGCGTGACCAACCAATCAGACTCAAAGAAGCACATAACTGATATGATTCTTTAGCCGACCGTCCTTTGGAGGGGACGTTTATTTACAGCTATTCTCTTATCAAATTATAATACTAGGAGCCGTTTTGTTTCAGCTGAAATTCGATGTTGGGTCACAGTCCACAATGTAAAGGAGGTGGGCCATTCGCCAATATGCAGCATTGTAGGGCATGTCGCACAAATGATCCGTTTTGGCGTAACTGTGGGGAATTAAGGCACTCGTGGAATTCAGCTTGGATAAGGAGTTCCAGCGAGGTTAATGATGATGCGCACGCCTATAACGTACTTATGAGTAATAATGGTTAGTTGAGTATGGTAGTTTTCTACCTATGAAAATGTCTTTGCTTGAAGAGAACGCAGCCCTTTCGGTGTTTTTATCGCCCGAGTAAGTGGTTGCCGCGATTTGCTAGAAAAATCAGATCAAGCAGCACCGTGACCAATTGATTGCAATGTTTTGCTACTATTCAGCTGAGGGTGTTCAACTGAAGGTGAAATTGCCTGGTTGTCTGTGCATGACCCTAAGACTCACTGGAAGCGTATCAAATCCATTATTCGGATTTGCTGGGGTTTACAATATTGCACTACCACAATTAGCTACCCAGGGGAGTTTTCGTGAAGGCACATACCAAATTCCATAATATTGTTCAGTATGAGTATTTGTTTATTAACTGATTTCCCAAAAGTTTCGGGAATAGTATGTACTACAGCCTCCTGGAGGAACTACTCAAATCATTACCCCGCTAGCTACGGCTTCGCAACTTTTGTTCCCAACCTTTTCAGGAATCCTGGCGCCAGCTTAAAATCCTTCTCAATCCTTTCGGGACTCCAACCTTTCTCATCCCTCAGCGACAGTATCTGTAATATCGTACTCGTATCTGCCATCGTGCGGTTTCCACCTGCATTTGTCGTCTCTGTCTCGCTCGCCTGCCGGCTATCGAACATCGATCGGCGCGACAGTGTCCGAAGATCATTAGAGCTCTAGATTACCGCCGCCACGCCAGTAAGAATTATCCTCCCAAGTTCCAATATAACCACAAGAACAACGCCATACCTCCGAGTTCAAAGCCACGTTTCTCGCTGGATCTGGGATCGTCTGCTGCTGCTGCACTGACCCTACAGCCCGTAGCATATTTGCAAAGTCGGGGTCCTGAGCATCCTGTCGAATCGCTACATATGCCACGTAATCAATTAACTCCATATTGTAGCTTTAGCTTCTTTTAAAACCCTACCATCGTCTTTGGTGGAACTAGCATATGTCTCTGGGTGTACTGAGGGTCCTTTGCCGACTGAGATTGAAGACGGGCCCGTTGAAGTAGTGGTCTGTGACGAGGGGAGGTCGGGGATACGAGTGGGATATTTTCGAGCGCAAGCTGGTGCTGCTGCTTTCGTTATTTTTGAGGCTTTGGAGCCCATTGTGGATGTCGAATTGATCTGATGGTTGGTCTTGAGAATTATAGGTATCCAGCAGCCAGACCAGGGCACATGAAGACGTCATGGATGAAGTAGGGTAACATGAGGCAAATATTACCCGCTCTGATGGAGCACTGTTAGGGTGTAGACAGAGATTTAACACTTGGCATTGATATTTTAGGTTCAGGTTCGTTTTGAGGTGCTGGTGGTCTTTCAATTTGAGTATCAGATACTTTAGAACTATGGATTATAATGTCATCTTGGTGACTTACAAACATGATTCAGTGGTGTAGTGGTATCACGGGCGCTTGCCATCTAACGATAGTTTGCGCCCGACCCGGGTTCGATTCCCGGCTGATTCATCTTTTCATCTTTTTTATTTTCTTCCTCTAAAGCCTTTCAAAGGCGTTCTTGCACTTTACATGCAGTCCAGGGCGTTTAATTCTGACGATGTTATCAAGATGCAGGCGTGCCGTTTTGTCGAGTGATATCCTATGATTATCTACGAGCGGAATTGGATAGCACGGGCCACTACTTCACACTCTAATAAGTTGGCTATAAGCATATTTTAATGCCTTTTTAAGACTTTAGTAAGCGTTTTTACTCCTTGTAATATCTCTTTTTTCCTCTTTATTACCGATAAAACCCTTCATAAACAGACAGATACGATTCCCCTATACGTCGAAGTAATTCATTGGACTCCCGGATCCAGCATAAACCTATTTTTTTTTCTTTCAATCCAAGTACGAAGGCACTGTCCCAGTTTCTTCAAATACTAAACCAGGGATTCTCTAGATCTATGTGTAGTATGTTAGCCCTGTACTACAGCATCTTTTGTGGTACGATTCCGGAACCTCTAAACCCGGTATGCTAGAGCATAGAAATGGAGATGAAACTCGCCGAGTCTTTTGGTGGCTTTTTCTCGGACCAGGTTTAAAATTCCCGGGACCGTCATGTCGTTATCGCTAGGGAATGCAGGGGTGGATTGTTGATGCCTAGATGCCTGCCTGCTCCTCTTGGCAGTAGCCTCATTATGTGAAAATTCTATTTTCACAGCAGTTGGCCGGTTGGCGCAATGGTAGCGCGTGGTCCTCCTATGAGGTTCAGACCGAGGTTGAGGGTTCGAGTCCCTTGCTGGTCGTTCTTTTTTGCAGATTCTTTTTTGGAAACAGTGCGAATCTAATCATCTGTTCAGAAAGACAGTAAATTCCAGGTGTCCAATAGTGAAAGCAGATAAATTTGGATCTTGGGTGCAACCACTCGCTTCCATAACGATTGAATTCATGGTCTCTCACTCGGTGGGTACTGGTGTCGCTAGACCAACCGGACAACTGCTAAGCCCCGTTTACTATTTGCTAGATCCACTCGGGCCATTTGCCCCCTTTCCCCCCCCTCTATCTATCCACCCTATCAGCGGCCCGATGCCCGCCCGGCGGCTAGCCAGAAGCTTTGTCAGTCGGAGTAAGGAAGGTGCACCATCTACCTCAGGGTTTATATCGCAGATGCCCGCATGAATATTAATATATTATTACTTTCTCCCGCTATAGCACTAGTTGACTGGTTGACTGACGGACTGCCACAGCGCCGCGCCCCTTTGTTCCCCAGAAACGTTTAGGCTAAGCTTACATATATTGAAGGATTAACGTTAACGAACTGTCAAGGTTGATTTTCTCCTGCGCCGTGGGGCCGTGCTATGGATCGGGCAGTTGTGTAGCACAGTCGCCATTTACGGCAGTTATGTGCTCGTATTTATTTGGCTTGGGAGGTAAGGACTGGCTGGCCCTTCGTTTCTGCACTTAAGCTTGAATAGCGTTTTTTTTTTTTTTTTCCCTCTCTCTTCCCTTGCATGGATATGGATGGACCGGATAGCTGCTAGCTGCTAGCTAGCAACTGATCATGGTCAGTCGGGAGTAAGGTGTCCGCACGCGCGCCCGTACCCGTACCCGTACCACCCAGGGTAGTTTTTAGATTTGATATTCCTTGCCTCGCTTGCTGGAGGTAGCGGTGGTGGTAGTGGGGGCCGCATCCGGTGGGGCGAGTGAGTGAGGGAGGAGGAAGAGGAGTTTTTTTTATATAAGCAGCCCCTTCCTGCCAGCTAGCTAGCTGTTTGATACTGGCCTGAGTGCAGTGAGGATCATTTAGCTGCCCATATATATATATATATATATACCGACCGCAACCAATTGAAGATGACGGAGCTGTCGGGCAAGCAGGACATTGATATCGTAAACTCATACTTCGCCGCCTACCAGAGCGGGTACGTCTCCACCCCCCCCCCCCCCCCTCTTCCTCTTTTCTTCCTCTCCCATTCACTATCCATACTAACATACCTCCCCAGCCAATATGACCGAATAACACCCTTCCTCCACCCCACCTTCACCTTCTCAGACCCATCCTTCCCCACGCCCACCCCGCAGCGCTCCCGCGCCCTCTTCGCCCTCTTCTGCGCAACCATGGCCAAGTCCGAGCTCCGCCTCGTGCCCACGCCGGCAGAGCCCGCCCCCGACGGCAGCGGGTTCGTGGTGCGGTACACGTGCGACTATGTCTTTGGCGCCGACAAGCGGAAGGTGCACAACGACGTTGTGGCGAGAGTGACGCTGTGCGAAGGGATGGTGGGGCGGCATGTGGATGTGTTTGATGTGGGCGTGTGGGGGAAGCAGGCGCTGGGGTGGTGGGGGGTTGGGTTGGGCGCGTGTGGGGTGCTGGAGGGCGTGGTGAGGTGGTGGGCGGGAGGGTGGTTGGAGAGGTGGTGTGAAGGGGAGGAGAGTGAGGGGGTGGAGGGCGAAGGAGGGGGAGAGGGGGAGAGGGGGGAAAGGGATGTTGTGGAGGGGGGGCAGTGGGTGTTTGTTAAATAGCTCGATTTTGTTTTTTTATATCAGGGTTGGGGAACGGCGTTAATTGGGAAGTACGATTGGGGAGTACAGTACTAGCTTACAATTCTTCTAATGAAATACTCAAATACTAGCAGGCTACATATCTGGCTAACCAACTAAATCTCTAGAATTGGGGAGTACTAGCTTACAATTTCTACTCAAATACTAGCAAGCCACTTAAAACGCCCAGGATCGTTACTAGTACTCTAGGTAGCCAGCTATTAATTGTAACCACCAACCAATTAACCACAGGAACCTCCCAGCCCGCTAAATAGTTGAGGCTACGCTTCCTCTCCTGTCATCGGACAGAAAATGTTTCGCAAAAGAGAAGACAGGATGGATGAAAAAAATATCGAAAAAAAAGACGACGACCAGCAAGGGACTCGAACCCTCAACCTCGGTCTGAACCTCATAGGAGGACCACGCGCTACCATTGCGCCAACCGGCCAGCTTGTTGCGACAAATGTTTTTGCAAATATAAGTAGGTTTCTAATACTCAGCCTTGTGCCAAGAAACATCACCTCAACGCTCCTGTCATCCTGATGCGCCTAAGCGAAAAGTTTCTGGGCTTTTCGAACGAGATGATGATTATTATTTCGGATGCGGCCATAAATCATTAGACAAGAAAAGAAATAGAAATAGAAATAGAGAAAATTAATTATACATAAAATCGGAAATCATGTAGTTCGTTAAAACCGTATATATGCGTGCGACCCTTTATGGGAGAGGGAGACATGACATTCGTAAAGTCCTCATAAACCTTCATGAAATTCGTAAAAACACCCTACCACCACCACCACAACACAAATCACCACAAACACACTCTACCTCCACCAGCCCAGCCCAGCATACTACACCTCTCTATACAATCCTCTCCTCAATGATATACTCCCCCGACCTCGGGCTGCCATGGCGATGCCTATGCCTCCTACTGCAACTCCTACTCCTCTCACTACGCTCCACATACGCCCCACTCCCCCCCCTCATGCCCCCGCTCCTCGTGCTCGCCGTATAGATCTTCTCCCTCACCAGCTCCTCATCCTCTTGTTTGTTCTGTACCACCACCACGGCCGCCAGGATCGCAGAGATGAAGAACAGGATGATGTTCGCAATCCCCAGCCCCATCGCCGCCTTCGCCAGATCGCAGTTGTGCCCGCTCCACACGGGATCGCTGTTATTGGCGCTCGACACTGTGGTGGGGTAGACCTTTGTGCCGTCCGCGCTCGTGGCGTAGACGACTTGCTGCTGGGGCGCGTTGCAGCGCGACGATGTGATTTTGGAGATGAGGACGACGCCGGCGATGAGTGCGGCGAGGAGGATCACGTCGCCGGCGGTCATCCAGTAGGCGGTGTTGCGCGCGCGCGCTTGGGTGAGTACGACGCAGAAGGCCCAGATGGAGGCGAGGAGGGCGACGATGAAGAGGGTGAGGACGCCGGCGGGGGCGACGGTGCCGCGGCTGTTGTAGACGTTGACGAGGGCGGCGAGAATGCCCCAGCAGGCGATGAGGGTGAGGATTTGGAAGACGCGGACGATGGTGAGGGCCGTGGAGGTGCCGGTGCTTTTGGCCATTGCGGCGGGCGGTTTGGTTTGATGGAGTGGAGAGGGTCAATGATTATGGGACGGGAATTGATGGTTGGGAGACGACTATCTAGCTAATTAACGCGATAGCCAGGAGGAGGCGGTGGATGGCGTGGAATTGACAGGACGGTGGCAATTGCACGGCTAGTTATAGTCTAGATGGAGGGGGGTCTTCATGGTCTGATTTACTCTACTCTATTCCACATTTTGGTAAGTATGTAGATGGGTCTCTCCCCCAGAGACAGAGACGGAGAAGCAAGAACCTGTCTTGCACTCTCCAACTTCCCCATACTCCCCCCCACCCTCTTCGTCCCACATCACGAATAATGCATCAGCCTTATGACGCTGCTGTGAAGCAATGGGCAAGACGAGAAACTTCCGTTACTGCAAGCAGGAACAGGCATGTGACGTCACCGACTGCCCCGCGAATAAAACAGCAGGCACTTTGCGTGAGTGATGATTGGTGACGGTGGGTGACGGTGGGTGAACAATTAGTTGTTTGACGATCGATGGTCGCTCCGGGAAGGAGGTTAAATAAAGCACCTCCCCCCCTTCCCCTCCTACCCCCTTCCCGAGTGCCCTACGTAGAGAGAGCTATTTTCTGCCAAGGTGTCAAGCTATGACATCCACTGCGTACCGGTTTAGGAAATAGATATAGTAGATAGATGCCGGTACCGTATTTGGATGTTTGCAAGGAACCATGGACCGTGATTAGGGACCCACAACTAGATTCCTTAAAGCAATAGTGTTAGTATGAGATAATCCTTTACCTTATTCTAAAGTGCTCGTTGGCTAGCCAGGGTAAGAGCCAGAATATTGTTTTATGGCATTTTTAGAAATGGAGGATCGTGGAAAGGCAATTCGGCCTACACCGAAGCCTGCGATCTAAGTGCTTTGCAGCACCTTCTCGCACGGGCAGCGGGAGTTTAGAGGTCCCGAGGCTCAGGCTTTCTCTTAGGAAGGCTTGTTTCACGTGCATGTGTAGGAAGACTCAATAGGCAACAAGATGGATGGTTCCATTACGGAGGAGGATGAGAGCCTGTCTAGGTACTTATACTACATACATGCAAAGGTGACACGTCTAGTTGAGCCCGACTGTGGACACTGTTTAAAATTCAAATTCAACCTTACAGCATGTCCGAAGAACAGCATTGTGATAAGGACATGTAGATGTGTACTTTACATGTATCTACCGGGGTCCTTATTGATACGGCAGGCCACTCCACTCCGGTGCTCCTGATAAGATTAAAGATTAAAGATGCCTGTGATGACTATTCAGCTACACAACGAGTAATCAACCAAAGTAATATTCATAATAGATAGTCGTCTCCAAGCAGCGCAATAGCAAACATGGAAGCAATCGTTGATAGAGCCCAAGCGAGGGTTAGGGCTGTCTTAGAGCCATGACGGTCTTGGCGTGCTTGTGACCTCAACTTGAACCCGTGGCTGCAGACGAGAGAGACAACGTGAGCTCCAGCAGCTCTCAATCAGCGAAGGAACACCGAGCAAACCTCATCCCTCGAGCCATCATCATCATCTCGAGACATCAGACAGTCTCTGGAGAGCTTGCAGCTTCCCAGATACCCAGTTCGTTCCTGTCAAACACTTGCTTGTTTTACATACATACATACATACATATACCAGCGATCTCGCCGAGATCGAGAAACGACTATCAAAATGACCTCCCCGGACGACCTCAACCCCCCCAGCTACCTCCGCGGCTCCCCGCCCAGCAATCTCTCCGACCCCTTCACCCCCTCCTCCTCCTCGCCTCCCCCGCGCCGCAAATCCCGCTTCACCACCACCACCACCACCACCTCCACCTCCGCCCCATACCTTCCCACCCGCAAACCCCACCGCGACCCGTTCTTCACCGGCACCGAGGTCTCCTCCCCCCCAGCAAGCTTAATGCTCCCCCCACCAGCCGTGACAACCTATGCCTACGCCCGCAGCTACTCCGCCTACTCCAACCAGCGCTCACCGCTACACTCACTCCGCCAGCAAGCCAAGCACCTCACCGAGCAGCTCCAGGTCCTCCTCGACGCACAGTCCACCGCCCTCATGTCCGGCGGCACCTTCGCCCCCGCACCGCCGAAGCCCCCGCAGCGCAGCGGGCGGAAGGGGCAGGGGCAGGGGCAGGGGCCGCCGCCAATGTCGCTCGGCGAGGCCCGCCACGGCATAACACGGAGCATGAAGGAGCTCGCGGACATCAAGGACGTCGAATCGGACATCTACGCCTCGCAAGTCTCCGACCGGCAGAGCCTCATCAAGACCGTAAACGCCTGGGGCACGAAAACGAAGCTTCTAGAAGCAGAGATCCACAGCATCGAGGACGGCGACGAGGGACGGCGCATGGAGGCCCTCCGAACCGAGAAGGGCGAGCTCGAGGCCGAGATCCAGCGGATCCGAGTTCACCTCGCAAAGATGGAAGACAAGTTGGCCGCAGTGTCCATCCAGCTGTCTGAGGGCGAGTCGGTCGTCGGCGCAAAGACATCGTCGTATAAGGCGGCGCTGGCCTCGCTGAAGAGTAAGACCTCGGGCCTCCTGGCGTCGCACCGGTATGCGACGCCGGCGACGGCCGTCGAGTCGTGGACACGGGAGTGCGAGGCGCTGACCGAGAAGCGTTCGCAGGCGGGTGCGGAGGGCGGCGCGCTGCGGGACGGCATCGTCCTCTGGGAGGACACGCTGCAGCTTGTCGGCGGATTCGAGGAGTCACTGCGCGCACACATGGCGACCGCTGCCGGTGCTGGGAAGCGGGTCAACACGGCGGACGTCAAGGCGCGGATCCTGCAGGACATCGAGGAGACGATTGGCAAGCTGGAAGAGATCCTAGCCCTCGCGGAGGACAAGAACTGGAAGCTGCTGTGCTGCTGCGTGGGCGCGGAGCTGCAGGTATTTCTCGAGGGGAGAGAGGTCATGAAGAAGAGCATGGAGGGCGACCGCAGCGCCATCCCAAGCACAAAGAGCACCCTCTCAAGCACGGAAGCGTCCAAAGACTCCTCCGACGGCGGCGGCAGCCAGCACGACGAGCGCAGCAGCAGCGCGACAATGACGCAGTCGCGCAGCTCCCTGCGGGGCGGGCTGGGCGGCTTCGGGCTGGGCGGCGGCGTGCGCAAGCTCGGTTCGTTGAGGAAGAGCTTGAGCCCGGCGCCGCCGGCGGTGAGGCTTAGTCTGCTGGATCGCAGGAGTGATGATGGGCAGTCGCCGCATGAGAATGATGGCGATGATGAGAGGGATGAGAGTGTGGATTTGTTGTTGAAGGTGGATAGTGTGGGGGATGGGGTGCAGGATGGGAGAGATTATTCGCCGTTGGATGATTGAGTGGGAGTGGGAGTGGGAGTGGGAGTGGAGTGGGAGTGGAGTGGGTGCTTGCTTTATGGTGTTTTGTACTGGATCTTGTTTTGCTTGGTTTTCTTTGCTTGGTTTGCTTAATTTGCTTGTTTTATATCTATTTCTTCTTTGGCTTTCCTCTGGCTTCTTTTATTTCTGGTGGCGCCTTTAAAGGTACATTCACTTGTTGCTAGAGACTTCTCTTCTTTTCATTGCTCAATTCCAGATTATACCTAAATACCACCTTTACGAAATACGACTCCTGGCGAAGCGATTCTTTCTTTCTTTAGCTTTGTTTTTTTAGGAGTTCTGGTTGTTTTTATGGGCTGCTGCAGGAGGGTTTATTGTGTTCTTACAGCTGCTTTTATGTACGTTTTTTTTTTTAATTTGTGCAAGCACTGGTTCTTCTTTAGTATCCCTCAATTGGTTTTATCTACCTATAGTAAATAACAAGAACGCCCAAAAGAAGCATTTCCCTACGTACGTACCCGGCTCTGTTCCTGGTTAATCGCCCCTAGGCCCTTTCGTCCCTATGCATGGTATCATGGTATTCGTCTCTACCACCACTCCCACCACACGAGTGACACCCTATGAGCCCTCTCACCAAAACCTCCCACTCTCCCGGGAACAAAAAAAAAGGTAACGACATCGACAGGATTTGAACCTATGCGGGCGAACCCAACAGATGAACACGAACTAGGACTTTCTTGGTAGAGAAAGGGGGATTCGAGTCTGTCGCCTTAACCACTCGGCCACGATGTCTTGGTCGGGTTTGGCTTGGATGGATAGAGGGTTGGCATGGTGGGGCGGGATGGATGGTGGGGCTTGGTGGGGTGGACTTTGAAGGACAGGGGCAGGGGAACCTGGAGGACTTTAGTTCTGGTTCACGTCTTACTGGCATCACCGAGCTTTAGAACTGGGACTTCAGCTCAATTCACCAAGAAAGTTCATGAATTCATTTCATTACAGCTTCATTATTACCGCCATGCGAGTCCCCAAGACCCACAAAGCTTATTAACAGACAGACAGAGCAAGTCTCCCTGGAATCATGTATCATCATACAAAAAAAATACTAGTTACAAAGAAACAAAAGTGCCATCATCTCGCCACCGCCAGCACACAACGTCCCGACTACCGATTATACAGCGCCCTCCCATCACCCGCGCCCGCGCCCGCCGAAGGCGCATGCATATACGTCTCCCCGCCGCGATGCCCTCTCTCCGAGTGCCCATGTCCATGATGTCTCCCATTCCCGCCATTCAACCCATTCGAACCCGTACCCACACCCGCACCCACCGCAGCCAAATCCCCCGGCGCGCCCCAACTCCTATGCGAATACCTCTCGGCCACGCCCCACCCGCCCTTCCTCGTCGCCGCGCCGCCACTCCACATCTCTATCTCGCGCACGCCATACCCGAACCCGCCCAGCTCGCGATTCCGCGGCAGCGGGATATGGTTGCAGCGCCAGTCCCACACGGACGCAAAGCACATGCGATACGCCAGGATGGCCATCACCACGCCGATCGCCGAGCCGGCGACGATGTCGTACCAGTTGTGGCTCATGTCGAGCGTCAGGCTGCCGACGATGAGTGTTGCGGCGAGCATGGGTGCGACGAAGAGGAGGAGTTTGAGGAACGAGGGGTGGTAGTTTGCAAAGATCTTGAGGTGCGCGTTGTAGTAGAGGCTGACATAGAAGAGGCCCGCCCACGCCGCGATACTGTGGCCGCTGGGAAAGCTCTGCATCGCGTTCGCGATGAGGTCCTTTCGGTTCTCAAAGTCGCGGCACACCGTGACATCGAAGTACAGGCCGCCGTAGCCCTGTCCCTCGACACCCTCAATCTGCGGATCGCACACGGTGAGGAAGTGGGGGCGCAGGCCGCCAATGACGAGCTTGATGACGATCTGGAGTGTTGCGCCCGTCATGACGGCGTATATGACGCCCCAGCAGCCGTTATTAACGTTCCAGAAGGAGCCGCGGCCGAGGAGAAAGGTGCCGTGGCCGCGGGTCTTCAGGCGGCGGCCGCTGGGGCCGTGGGTGCCGATGCCGAAGAAGTTGATGAGCCAGATGGAGATGAAGGGGACGAAGATGGCGATCATGGCGTCGGGGATGATGGGCATGATTTGGGACTGCTTCGGGTGCGCGAAGGAGGGGTAGATCACGGTGGAGCTTCTGTGGGGACTGTCAGTACATTGAATATGGGGTATCTGGGGAGAGGGAAACACTCACGGCGTGAGCCCAGACTCGGGATTATACGATACTGCGAATAGCTTCCGGTACGGGACCGGACTCCACATCAACAACCACAGCGCAATCGCGCCCAAGATTATAAACCTGCACATCCTCAAATCAGCAACTATTCCACATGCACACAGACAGTGAGAACACAAAAACACAAAGATACAAAAACACTAGAGACATATACTCACGCAAGCAGATCATGCCAATACCACTTAAACCACTGCAGCACCGTCGGCGCCGGCCCATACGGGTCCACCCACCCCTCATACTCCTCCTCCTCCTCGGCGGCCTCCAAGTCCCTTCGTAACGGCTTCTCACGCACCACCGTCGTGTTACTGGTCGTCTGGTCGAGGCCGCTGGGGTCGTTTGTGCTCGCGCGGGGCGTGGCGCCGGAGAAGGTTGTCGGGTTATCCGTAGCAGTCGAGTCGTGGCTGGGCCGGAGGCGGCCGAGGAGGTTCGACATCTGTTCTTCTTCTTTTTCTTCTTTGGGGGTTTGGGATCGAGGTATGCTTGTTTACAGACTGATGGTGATCAATAACCTCCTCCCATCTGTGTTGTGTGGGCAAGCCAGATTTATACTCAACTGGCCACAGCTACAAATCAAGAAACACCCCTGCTCCCCCATACCTGTAGCTGTGGAGTAGAGGAGGTAAAGCCCCGTCCGTCACTCGTGCACAGAAACCTGGCATCTTGAAAATATCGGTACGTAGGGAACACTGCTCGTGTTTGGAGTGATAGGTTGAGTTGCGGTGTTCTGCTGCTCTCGTCTACGTCACGGTACGTCGGCCAAGCCCCTTTCCGTAACAGGGCCCGGCCAGCCAGACAGGCAGCGGGAGGTAACGAGCAAGGGCACACGTGCTGGGACGAGACGACACCGCGCCAAACCTTAAATTTAGACTGGTTCGTAGGTGCTTGACTTTATGCCTAGAGGAACTGGTAGCAGTAGATCTAGACTACATCCACTATCAGATAGATATGGTTGGTACTTCAGTGGGACACTGTATACCTAGAGACTGGTCTGTTCACCACATCATCTTTACCAGAGCCCAAGTCTCGAGCCAATTGCAACCTACTCTACTCAAGGCTATTTCACAACTGGAGGAATTTAGAATGTACTGCACCGCACCGTACTGATGGTTGACTATGAGACACCACTGCAAAAGTATCTATGAAATAGCGGATTATCCCTCAACCCCCCCCCCCCCCCCCCCCCCAAAAGGCTCTAGCTTGCTCCTGATCGTAAGAGAAAGAAAGAGCAAGAAAAAAAAATCAAAAAAAGATTACCGGGCCCATCACACCCTAATCTATAGCTGCCTTTGTTTTGCTATGCAAATCCAATTACCCCATCGCATCGGAATTTCTCACGGGATGATGAAAAATGAAAAAGAAAAAATGACGATAAAAATGATCAAAAAAATAATTGCTCCCTGAACCCCCCCCCCCCCCCCCCCGGGGGCCCGCGACCCGACCTTCAACAGGCCCAGTATGTAGATCAAGTAGCAAAGTCCGCTGTAACCTCGCCATACCTACAATGAAACCCGCAAGAGGAGGGAACAATCAGCAAACGTCTCAAAAAAGAAACTAAAAAGAAACTAAAACTCAATGCCAGCTGAGCTCGAGGGAATCATCTTCATACCGGACACCATCGACACTCAGCTCAAACAGCAGTGACGCGCTCAACACCGTCATTTCCATCGTAAAGTGCAAGCCTTCGTATTCCACGTCTTTGGAGTTCCTGCCCTTCGTGTACATGCTATTGGGCACGTTTGTTAAGTCTGAGCGGAGCTTACACACAGTTTTGACCGCTGGGAGAGGTTAGTTGAATTCACATCATGTCAAGTGGGGAGGAAGGGGGCTACATACTGCTATCGATGCATTTTGGTGGGAACGTTTCCTGGCAGCAGACCAGCTCGTCCACTAAAACCCTACTATGGTGGTCCTCAAAGGTGATGTAGAATGGGAACGCAATGCTCTCATCCTCGGACATTTCCGTTCCCTTCAACTACCCGTCAGCACTCACAAAAGTAAATAAGGGCTAGGGTTATATCTAAAACCTTTGCGATATACCACTTGATCTGGTTCTCAGCAAGCCACTTCTCCCTTGTCGTGTCCCAGTACTTGTGTTCCTCAGAGTGAACATTCTCGTCATAGTATTCCCAGTACTTGACGCCGTAATGGTATCGCGACTTTCGTGTCTGCACGATAGTCTCCATTCCACGAATTACAGCGCCCCGAACGACGGCAGTCCATGAATCTACCGGTTGGAGCACAACGTCTGGATTGTCGGGAGTGGAAAGAACATCGGTGTATTTGTTCTGGAGACGCATAAAGAGGTATTCCGAGGAACCAAAGCCGCCGACGAGGAGAATACTCTTTGGAGGCCGTGATTAGCACTTGGCCGATCCTCCAGGATAGTTTGCCGCTTATCGGTAGCGGGCACATGGCAGGTAGTCTAATCCAAAGGTCGAAATATCCGGTATCAACTCCGCAGATATCTCGGGCAGTTGACACCGGATATCTCGACCTTTAGAGCTGCTACGTGCCCGCTACCGACGAGCGGGGAAGATTAGAGAGGGCCATAAAAGTTACCTTTACTCGCTTCCCCTTTGACTGTACCGCTGTGATCTGTCCGTCTACAAGCCGTACAACCTCTTCAATCACGGGCTCAAATATACCCTGTACCTCTTCCCTTGTAACGGTCATGAAGCCGCAGTCAATCCCTCGCGCTTCATCGTCGGGAAGCCCGGGGAATTGTATCGGAAATACGTCCTGATCCTCGCCGTCTACAAAGACCCGCTTCACATACTCCTCCCACGACTTGAGAGCCGCAATCTTGGTCTTCTCCTTCATGGCGAAATAAGCGGTGGAGCCTAGTCGCTCCTTCACGAAGCTCTCGAACCGGCGGTTCAGGAATGCAGACCCGCATAGCTCACCTTTACAGCATTAACCTCCCGCCGCAAAGGGGGGTTTAAAATAAGGGACATACCTGTGCCTGTAACACTCTCCTTCACTTGCAACGGCTCTGTCTGCAAAATCTCATACGAGATCAAATCCACCGTACCGCCACCTGCATCACAAACGACAAAGCACGAATCGTCGTTCGCCGACAGATTCTTTGGCCGTATTGTTTTCAAGGTATATAGCGCCGCAGCCTCGGGCTCAGATATTAGCCTAATCTTACAAGACTTTGCCATACCCGTGCCCTCCGCCGCCTGCAGCGTCGCGTTCTTCGAGCGGTCGCTCCACACGGCCGGACACGTGAGGATAAACTCTATCTTAGTATTCTCCACAAATGTCTGTCCGAGAGACCGGGTCAGCATGGTGATGGTGTGGTCGTAGAGCATCTGCAGATAGTCCCTAACGACATCCTGAACAGTCTTCTCGTGCTGCTGTAACTGCGCGTAGATATTAGGGAGGGAAACAAAGTCCGGTGGTCGCAAGTTGGGGTCCAGGCAGAGCTTGAAGCACTCGATGCAGTTCTGAAAAGGCTTGATTTGGAAGCCCCATTTTATGCCGTCCTTTTCGTAGGCGATCTTGGAGGGGACCTTGGGAGAGGTGAGGTTTACGCCGCCAGGCCAGCTCTGGAGGGGTGTCTGTCAGTGGGGATGTGGGGGCTTGGCGGGGAGGAGAGGGGAGGTGTAGAGTTGTGGGACGGACCTGAATTACGTGAATCTCGCTGGGAGAACCAGTGTAGCCCCAGGCGACTCTGCAGAGACGATAAGCTTTTTGGTTTCCTCAGGGACAGGCACGGGAACTAGTGGACCGTGTAGGATAGTGGGGGAGGAGAAGTGGGGAAGGGAGGGAGGGAAGGAAGTGCATTCTTACCCGCTATATGTTGTTCCAAAGTCAACCCCGACAACAAGCCTATTTGTTTCGCCGGACAGAGAAACATCCCGAATCTTATCGGTTACGTTGCGAAGGCTGATCTCCGAGGATGGCGACTGCATGCTAGGCAAACAAACGATCTGTCTCTTTTTTCTAGGTTGTCTATTTTCCGAGAGCTCTGTTCTGCGGGGGTGACTAGGTTAGCAGTAGAAGTATGTAGTTGTAGTAAAGTAGCGGGAGGTAGAGTAGGCAGGCGGGTTGTATGTAAAGTAACTTTTTTTAAAAGTAATCAGGCGTCATACAGCCACCACATGTAGCTAGGGCATGGGTGCCTATTCTATTCTACGTGTCATAGGCAGACATCGATAGGACTGTTCGCCTGCTTATCCTGCCTGTCCTACTCTCTCTAGGCTCGTAGAGTACCTAGAGGCTAGAGTAGGTATTCAACACTCCACCTGCATGGCATCGTTCTCGGGTCTACCATTCGCTCGGATCTCGCTGTATGTGCTACAGCGGCGCCTAGATGCGTTGGACCAATGATCCCGCTAAAAGCACAACGGTAAAATTAAGGTGATGAGGGATGAGGTGGGAACTTGATTTATGAAATTTAATTCTTCTTGTTCTTAACCTAACCCTTAGTTTATGGATATATTTGAATGATGATCAGGAGTACTTGGGAGATTGCTTCAGCTATGTATTGAACTCCCAGTAGCCTATAATACCGCCTTTTTCTTTCGGTTTACCTGACCAGAGTTTCAAAGCACCATCAGCTACCTTGTGGAACAGATATGCAAAGCGGGGGCCCAAGTTCAAGCACGTAAACTTTCAGGAAATGGCAAACCCCGTTACTGTATCACGTGGCGGTTAAGTTACTTTTGCAGCGGGGTTCTGATCTTGTTCAGTTCTAGCCTATGTAACTTGTCAATTTTCATCATGGCATGTATTGTTCCCACCTCCAGAATGGTGGGCACCAGAAACTGGGTATCTTTTAAAGACGTGGAATTCATCAAATCATATTCAAGGCTCGCAGAGCTATGAACTTCTGATGCATTTACAAGGCCCCCTTTAAACCGCTTGATCAGTTCCTTTAATTGCAGTAGAATTAAGCCTTGTGGAAGGTAAATCTTTTTAAATTGCACCTTCAATGCACGGGATACTCGAATAGTTTGAATTCACAAGTATGATTTGAATCATAAGTAATCACTCGATCGGTCTTGAAAAATACTGCATGTTGGGAGAACGGGGGCCGCGGATGGGGGTGACTTAATTAACGATTTACTAGACACGGTGGTATGTAATATATATTCACCAATCTAACAGGACAATCTGTCTACATGACGTATTCAGTAATTTGCTGTCATCTAAAGTCTACAAATATACTCCGTAGTGTTGCTGTCACCATGATCTATCAAAATATCAAGCACCCCAATGACAGCAATTTGAGTCTTAAGGAGACTAGACGTTCCAGCACTGGCTAGATATCCTATGAGGATTTACACCCTTAAAGTTTCAAACTTTACCCTTCTATCATTCGAAACAGAAGCTGTAGTGCTTGGGGCTGTGCAAGTACTGCATTCCCAGTTAACTTTCGTCACTATGTAGTATTTCATCTATGCTGTTTTTTCTGTGTGCTGCCTTCAGGTTATCAATTGTTTGGGACGCACAGAAAAATATCTCGAGTTTCAGACCTCGAATCTGCACTTCAACTGGTGAATATCAAGATCTTGCACTAGTAGTACATTATTACTAGAGATCGCTTGCAACTGTCGCCAAGCCACCTAAGTCTTCAGTAATTGCGGACACAGAGATTGCCGGGCATCAATTAGGCAGGCAAACAGTCCAGGGGCTTCCCGATTACTTTACCTCCAAGCCCCGGAACTCCGATGAAATTTTTCTTTTTTTCGTTTCTCTCGTTTCTTTTACGAGTACGTATTATCACGAAATTTCTTCGCGGGAGTGTTTCTCCGGGACCCTTTCCCGGGATGCGGCGGGCACACCAGAACCCTGGCATAATGGGGCTTGGCGGTTAGGCATTTATCGATAAGCAGCAATTAGCTACCTACTTTAATTGAGTGGGGTCGACGCTTCCTTAAATTCTTGATTGGATTTATTATTCTCCTGCAGGATATCTATATATTTTTTTCATGGCTGCTTGTTAATACTTTCTTTACCTACCGGACCCTGAGTTCTACAGAGACTGATAGGGTGATTTGGACATCTTTACTTGAGTTAATATTACCAATTCTGTTTTAAACAGCGAGCGATGGCGACCTCGACACTATTATCGCGGTGCTCCCGCCTCCCCACAATAAGATACTTACGCAGGCTCCCGTCAATACCAGTACCAGTAGCACAGAGGCGAACGATCGCAACAGGCCTCACTGCTGCTGTCGAGGAGGAAGAAGATGCCAGTTTACAGCTCCCATTCTCAGCTCCGACGACAACGACGACGACACCCCGATTAGACCAACTCAGGAAGTCTGCAAAGCCGTTCTCAGAGTTCCTGACTGACACATTCGGGCGCCAACACACATATCTCCGAATATCTGTTACCGAGCGCTGTAACCTACGATGTATGTGCCCAGTTCACCCCCCCCCAGCTGGTAGTATCCGTGGATGCTGACAGTTTTAATACAGGTGTCTACTGCATGCCCGAAGAGGGCGTCCCGCTCTCGCCTCCCGCACACCTCCTCTCTACCCCCGAGATTCTCGAAATCGCACGTCTGTTTGTCTCACAGGGCGTCACAAAGATCAGACTAACAGGCGGGGAGCCCACCGTGCGGAAAGATATAGTAGAGCTGGTGGAGGAGCTAGGGAAGTTGAGGAGTATGGGGTTGAAAGAGGTGGCGATGACGAGTAATGGGATTGCGTTGAATCGCAAGCTGGAGCGCATGGTGGACGCGGGGTTGACGGGACTGAACCTGAGCCTGGATACACTGGATCCATGGAAATTTCAGTTTATGACTAGGAGGAAAGGTATGTTGCTCCTTTTTGGGTGGTTAGGATTTGGGGCCTAATGAATGAGGTGTAGGTCTCGAACAGGTTCTCAAAACAATCGATAATGCACTCTCTCTTGGCTTCGGCGCCCCCGGCTCTGACAAAATCCTCAAGATCAATTCGGTCGTCATGAAAGGTGTCAATGATAACGAGATTGGCAACTTTGTCGAGTTGACGCGCGACAAGCCCATTGAAGTACGTTTCATCGAATACATGCCATTCGATGGCAACAAATGGAACAAAAAGAAGATGGTCTCATACAAGGACATGGTGGACCTCATTCACACTACACATCCCAGCCTACAGAAGATGGCATCCCAGCGGCCCAATGACACAAGCAAGAGTTGGTATGTCCCTGGATACCAGGGCCGAGTCGGCTTCATTACGAGCATGACGCACAACTTCTGCGGAAGCTGCAACAGGCTCCGCATCACGGGAGACGGCAACCTCAAGGTGTGTCTATTTGGAGATGCAGAGGTTAGTCTACGGGACATGATGAGAAAATACCGAGACCGAGAGGCCGAGGTTGGTGCGGGTGATAGAGCGGTAATGGAGAGGGAGCTACTAGATGTCGTGGGTGTGGCAGTGAGGAGAAAGAAGGAGAAACATGCGGGCATGGGTGAGCTGGAGAATATGAAGAATCGCCCTATGATCTTGATCGGTGGGTAGGTCTTTATAAACCTGCCAGTCCTTGCAACTTCTTAGATTGACAGTGGATATAGATAAGGATCATAGGGGAGTAGGAGCGACGTCGGCGGCGGCAGCAGTGGGACATAGGCCGGCTCTCTGGGGACATCATTCTTTTCCAGGCGTTACGCGGAGTTCTTCACCTTTAAGCACAATAATACCACCCCCATTCCCACCCCCATTCCCACCCCCATCCTTCCTCCAAGCACGAGCATACTCCACCAAGCCTACCACTCCCCCTCCATCTCCCGAACAACCCAAACTCACTCACCTCACCCCCACCGGCGAAGCACACATGGTCAACATCACCCAAAAAGCCGTCACCTCTCGCACCGCCAGCGCCGCCGGGCGCGTCCACTTCTCCAACCCCACCCCCCTAACCCTCATCCGTACCAACGCGCTCAAAAAAGGCGATGTCCTCGCCACCGCCCGCATCGCCGGCATCATGGCCGTCAAGAAGTGCCCCGACCTCATCCCGCTCTGCCACCCCATCCTCGTCAGCGGCGTCAAAGTCAGTGTCGAGGCGTGCGGCGGCAAGGGCGAGAACGGGTATGTGCACATTGAGGCGACGGTCGAGTGTGTGGGGCAGACGGGCGTGGAGATGGAGGCGCTGACGGCGGTGGTGGGTGCGGGGTTGACGGTGGTGGACATGTGTAAGGCGGTGGATAAGCGGATGGTGATTGGGGAGGTGAGGGTTACGAGGAAGGAGGGGGGGAGGAGTGGGGTTTTTGTGGAGTAGGGGATGTATGGGGTTGTTTGGTTGTTTGTAGAGCTAGTAGTATAGGGTTTTTTTTGATTCGAGTATATATTGTGTGCATATCTGTGTTGTTTTCTGAGGAATGGGAGGTGGGAATTGGTGGGATCCGGAAGTAAGGGGGCATATTGTATTTGTGTTTCTTGATATATCGTTTGTGCTAATGTAGAGTACTCATACGTATTTACTTAACTACCAGAGACATGCGTACTTATGTGCTATCATAATACTTTCCCAACCTCGAGATCATTGACACAAGCAGCCGTCATTAGTAGTGAGACCCAAAAGATACGCACGAAGGAGGCCTAATAGGGAAGCCGGTAACTCTACTACTCACCTAGCGTATCTTTCCTGCTAGTACAACCAATAGAATAGTATTAAATCCAATTGTTAGCAGTGAAACACCGCATTCAACCAAGCCCTAGCTGATTGATGATTGATAATTCATTAAAGCCCTAGCTTTGGGGACGTCTTTGCGCCGGGGACAGTCGGCTACGATGTGAGAAACCTTGAAACAAAGAAATGACTGCATAATCCAGAATTTTCACCTGACCCTGGTGTTAAGTGGCCTCGGTCAATGGCTTTCAGGGACCAACTGAGTTGAATTCAAGAGCTCCAATATCTCTATTAGCTTAGAGCTACCGAGTGATTATTGATGAATTTGTTCGCATGTCGTACGGACGGAGTCTTATCTCCGTGCACGTGAGCGCTCATATGATCATGATGCTTCTTTTTTCTTTATATCGCCGGGGATTATAATTCTTTCCTTTTACACCCGTTCAATATGGTTTCCGAACCTGAACAAGGTGTAATACATCTCTTTCAATGACGCCTTGGTTCCGCGAGGGTTAATTCCTGGTTCAGACGGCTCGCAGATATCATAGAAGGAAAGAAGACCAAGCCATTGTACATATGGTTGAATCCAGACCAGCCAGATCTAGAACATCGCAGAAACTCCACGCAAAGCTACAAGTAGGTGTGTACAAGTTTTCTTTTTCATTTGTCATTACTGATTGTGTGACTATTATTAAAAAATCCTTAGTAGCGCACAATGACCATCAGAAGTGACGCTTTGGATCTGAACTTTCCTCAGATAGAAAGTTGTAGAATTCAAGGCCAGGAGAAGCTTAAGGGTGGTGATTTAATTCTTTTTATTCGAGTTTTTGTTTGAGTAGCGGAGTTAATTGTCCTTTGCTCTTTGTTTCGCAGTTCCATGGCCACCGTGATTGAAGTTGTTCGCAGTATGTTGGTGGTTATCCCCAGCGCCATTTTTGGGTTTTACGGATATCTGTTTCTGAGTACAAAGAAGTGTGTTGGCCTTGTTGGGTCTAGGCTTAAATGGTTATACTCGTAGTTTTTGGACATGAACTCTCACTCACCCTCTACTCTTGCTAGCACTGACGTAATTAGTGAGTACAGCACTTGGCACTTTCTCCTGTCTAGTATTTTAAGGTGCACGTAGATTCATTCCAAGCCTTTTTTCTCGAAGCTTCTCTAGAAACTATCATAGTCTGGGTACTACGAAATCGCATTATATACAATGAGTGAGTTTGAATTCCTTCAGAGTGATTGAATCCCTTTAGAGTGATTGAATCCCTTTCGAGCGACGTACGCAGTTATCAAATCAAACAAAAAATATCGTCTCAAATTACTTTAATTACTCTTAATGATGGGTGAATTAATTCCTAATAGGGTATTCTGGGACGAATACCTATAGCACTCTGAACTTAGGGGTACCTGTAGTCTACATTTTTTTCTGTAGTATACGTAACGTTATGTGACCATAGTATGCACATGATAACGGGAATACTCCATTCCGACAAGTCGAACTTCAAGATCTTTCATGGCAACTTGGCCTTCATAGTATCGCATCATGTTCATATCATATCATTAATTACACATACACACCACCCTTTCGCTCGCTCGCTACAAACAGCCTTCTGAAAAATTCATCAGATCCTATGGAAAATGAATGAGAAAATAACGCGAAAAGGGTAAAAATAAATGTCATTACAAAAAATGAGAAAATGAAGCAATTAAGAAACCATATCAAACCGTCCCTCCAAGATATTCGATCGTCTCTCTAACCTTTGCACTGACATTTGAGCCTGCACTGCCAGTGTACATCCACTCTACAACATCTTCCCAGACCTCTGGGAATAGTAATGGAATCTCTACAGTGGCACCCCTCTTTACATGCTCACTTAGCAGTATCGCCGCCAGAAGCGGTGCACGGTGCAGCGAATATTCGATATCTGGTATATGTTTTGAAAGTCAGTACAAAAAAGGTTAATTGGAGGAGCTTGGAGGGTAAGACTAACGTATCGGCACAGCCGGCCTCCTCTGAGTTTTCAGCTTAACTACGTTCTGCAAAATTTCAACCTTGGTCCCCTGATAATGCTCTTCCTGATGTCTGATGTGATGCCGTGGCGAGGCAACATGTTTTCTGATTCTACACGAACTTGATTTTCTTATTGGGAAGTATTTCTGCATGTAAAACGGCCTGCTCGACCTTGACTGTGGGATAATCCTCACTTTGACAAGCTGCTTTGCTGTGTTCGGTTCGTCTTCCTCTTGCTCCTCATCGTCCTCTTGCTTGATGCTCTTTGTGGATATTGAAAAGTCTGATAGAGCCCGATGAAGATCATTTGGAGAGACATGAGCGTGACGGGCTCTGGACGACTGAGCGGGTGGGATAGCAATAGCCCGGACAAACGCATCTGCGGTTGACGAATTGAAGAGATATACATCACCCCATTCGCGGAGTTTGTTTGCCGTATATGAGAAGGGAATATTGCCAAGCAATCTGGGATCAAGCGGATTGTGTATTTGCTGTTCTGGTACAGCTGCATCTTGAACGATATTTTGCGTGCATGCCGCCTTCTGAGCCTTTGAGCCGAACGACACGCCAGAGTCATCAAAATCCTCGTCCTTTACCTTCTGTTTCCACCACTCTCGATCCACGTCATTCTTTACGTCCTGGTACTCATTTTCACTGAAATTCCGCGGGGGAGATGCACTTCCCCGTCGGGGTAACTGGATATCATCAGCTTTGATATCCACCATCCTAGGCCTTGGATATGGCTCTAGCGCGGCAGAATGTCTGCGGGGAATGGTCGATGCTTGTGCGATATTTCTTACTGCTGGATGGATTCTCATCTGCAGTGCGTCTGCCTCCGTGCCAGAATACGGTGGTGTATCTAGCTGGTAGTTGAGATTCAAATAGTAGTCTCTTGCAGCTACAACAGTTGGAGATACAATATCCACAGGTGGTGTTAGATTTTGTATATAGATCTTGTGATCGTATTGCAGGCTTTCTGGTTTGATTATCTCTGTCGGAGGTGTGCCTAGACGTCTGGCTGCAATTGTGGGCGCAGATGTCGTCAATGGGAATGGGACATTCGTGGGGGAAGCAGTGTAGCTACACTCCCTTGGTTGTTCGGGGGTATATTGTGGCATTATAGAAGCAGGAAAGAGAAGAAAATCTCGGTTATACTGCAGGAGTGTTGGTATATGTGTCGGAGAATATTTGGACTGGAAGGCACAAGGTTCTAGTCTCATTCCGAAGGCTACACTGGGGGCTTCTCGATATCCTTTTATTCTGTATGGAGAAAATCTTCGACCATATGTTGGTTTATGAGTAACAGACAGCTTCTTATGAAAGTACAAGATCCATATGCAACTAATATTTGTTGCCAAGTGGTGTGCTTGCCTGATTTGATACGGATATTAGCAACTACGGCATAAGTTATAAGGCGTTAACAAACAGTTGAACTACTCACACGAAATAAAACCGTAAGACGCTGATAGCTACAAGTGGAAACTACCTCGGCCGTGACTCTCAATTGAGGACGGATATAACGCCCGTTGGTATATATAGATCAATCAAAAGTATGGTATAGATTGATCTTTTATCTCCTATATATTAAAAACCAGGGCCTGGGGATTCCAGCGCGCCGGAGAAACATCGCTCAACAAAGACATCTAGACTCGAAGTTAGCACCCAGCCGTCAGGAATGAAAGTCCGAAACTCGACTACAAAGTTCTTTGGATTCCCTCGGATGACGGAATGAGATACAACGCAATCGTAGAGTGGGGCCGCTTGAGAAGAAACAATCAAGGGTCAGCAAGGTTAATCACACTCTTAATTCTATGTACGTATGGTGTAGGTAGCTATCAATGCCGTTGGTCATCGCTCACATGAGCTGCCGAAGGTTAGCAGCAGGACGAAACTCACAAGCACAAAGAGAACGAGATAGAGGGAGATAATAATTTCTCTACATATCATGCACTACCAGGTTGAGAGGAGGAATCTCGAAGACGGAGAACTGATGAGCATTTCTCTATTGCGGCCTCTATTGTACTAGCTTGGCCTTATAGCTACACGTACTTACCATTGGAGATATGTAGATGATTTATGTGATTCTTCATGGAATGAATGTACTAATCGGGAAAGTCACTAGAGATTGCGCATAGTTGTTTTTAGAGCCGAATGAGGACAAAGAAAGATCAACAATATTTCCCTTTTTTTCTAGTCACGAACAAAGGGCCGCATGAGGGCCCACCGCGCCTAGTAGATAAGTGACCCTGTAAACCTTTAAAAAAAAATTCTGTGTACGAGCAGTACAACCAGAGGCCATGGATCATGAATGTGTGAGTTGAAGGCTTTACGCATAGCCAGCTGGTGCTCCACTCTACCCACTCTACCACTCTACTCTCCCTTCACATAGGGGGAAAAAACAACCCGGGTCCCTTGTATGCCAGTATCCATCCACGTTATGCCATAGAGCAACTCGGTCTCGTGTTTGTCTTTCAAACACATGCATCTACCTCCCTGTCTATTCTCAGATATTCTGGCCTTCGAACCCCGACACTAGCATTCCCCATTAATGGGTTTAAGTTCAAGCCACTCGTCGGAAGCCAGGAAATATACTCTATTTGCCAATAGCTCCGGACAACGATCCAAAAAAAGCCCTGAGGAGATATGAGGTTAGAGGTGGAAGGGCTTAGGCGTATGGATAAGTTATCAAGATCTGATAAGAGAATATATATTAGAACGCGTGTTTTATTTTTTTAATCTGATCTTAATCACTTTCTTCCAAATCTCAGCTGCACAAAGACATAACTGTATCCGTTACAGTTATCCAAGCACGTGGCAGAACAATATGCTGAGTGTTTGTTTAACTTATGTACAGATTGCTTGATAGGAAACAAAACTTGATCATGGCACACACTGCTCAGGCCACTTTACTCCGAGAGCGTCCCTTGCATAGTGCACTTGCTATCATATATCAGGTTTCTCTACTCTACTTCGCCCTGCCATGAACTGGTTTAAGCTTTACCAAATTGCATGGAAACGAGACTAAGGCTTCTACGGTTTCTTTACACTAGTGTTTTTGTTAGTAATTCTTTGGAAAGTCTTAGTTGTTAGAAACACCACAAAGGGATGAAAATAATTTAGCTCGATCGAATGGCATCATCCTCATCATTCATGCGCAAATAAGGGGGGATACGGAGAAAATCATCAAATACAGGAAGTTTCAGCAGAGCAACTAGGTACATTTCGAAAAGAACTCAGGAGGGATGCGGTATTCTCCATATGCACATGTCATGTCGTCGACGTCAATCTTCACGCCATGCATTACATGTGCAGCCAAGAAGCTCTAACGATTTCAACGGCATGCATACCTACATGTACTTTAAGGGATGAGGTCCATGGAAAATCTCCCTCGGGGATATTTTATTGACCTTTAAAATCAGAACTCAATCTCAGTTATCGTCTCGGCCTTCTGCTCTCCCAGTTGTAACTTAGCCTCAGCTAGAAACAGACTGAAAATGGGTTTCCGGTCTCTAGGTTCATGATCAAAACACACAATTCTCAACTGTCATAATCTTTGTTAGGGTTTGATCTTATTATTTTCCTAAGCAGCCGGCCTAGACACGGACCATTAACCAATAGAATCATTTTTCCGTCCGTTGCAATGCATTATTCGGGATAGCAACAGGTTTCAAGGATCATTCTAAGAAGCAGTTTTAGGCGCTCTTAAAAGCAAACCCATCAGCAATGCACATCTCAAGTTGTACAGAAGCATATGCGTATGCTCGTGAAAGTACTTAATCACTTCACGTTCCTCACCTAAGTCTAGAAGTTCATGACCTGTGGAAACGATGGTGTGCATGGACTACAGGTACATAAGCCATGTTACGAACTAGATTTTCGGATCGAGTATGTTCCCCCTAAGTTTACATATGAGGTTTGACGTGAAGGCAGAAAGATTACTCGCAATTTCACAGCGTTTCCGGACGCAACTGCTATTGCATACACAGAAAAAACCCGCCAAGGCTATCTTTTGTATGGCATGCAATAGTGGTCGCGTCCGGAAACGTCAAAAAACTACGAGTACATACAAATCGGTACTATCCAATAGCAATCAGATCCGGAACTCCAAACATATATAGTAAAACCAGAACAGGTATCACCGGGCAAAGCTTATAATCATCATACTTTAGGATACGATCAAGCGGAACTTCAGCGCAGCCTGTTAAGTATCTGCTTGGGGACTCGATAACGCTGAAAAATTGGTATGCTTCAATCCCGCGCGGTCTGCACATGTCCACGCCAACCATCAGATTCGGTACTATTGTGCGTGATGGAGGGAAAGCGCAAAAGAAAAGAAATTCTTACTGCGCCCCACGGAATAAAAATGGAAACCTTAAGGTTCTTGGAGGGTTTTCGCCTTTTGAACGGTCCCATTGGTTTCCGGCTACATATGTCCGCACTTACGCACACTGCATGTATGATTCCTGGCTACAGCCCAACGATTAGGCGAACCACATCATATCTCATCATGTATAGCTATTCGCCCGTCCTACATATGTGAGGAAAGGTGCAGCCTTTCTCAATGCCCCCGCTTCCCCTTAAGGTTTGATAAAGGCTGTAAGATGCCCACCAGCTCCTCTAGGCGCGGCTGTCTTGTTCCATCTTTTAGAAATTCGAAACCTTCCAACCTGTCGTGTCGGCCCTTTTAATTGTCCTACAATATACCTTCTTTTCGGCGACCGATACTTTGCAATGATTCTTGGCTCCTTCTATCCTAGAAATTTGAGCGCTAGTAATTTCTTCGTCGTATTCGTAGTTACTATCATTTTTCAGTCTTTGCTGGTTCATTCACAGCAGTTGGATCCTATCAAGAATGTATGCAGCCGGTGGGATCATCAATGTAAGTAGTCTTGCCAACCTATTTGTTTCAGCTTTGACATTAATTCCAAATTAAAGCCGCAATCCTGAATGGAAAAATCTACATTGACGGCGGCGTAGAAGTCTTCGTCGACCTAAACTCCACCGGAGAAAAACAACCCGGTACCCAACAAGTAGGAATAAGTTAGTTCTTTGTCCACCCTGTGGATTCATGTCACTCTTTAACCATTTTCTAAACTCTCCAGATAAGCATTTAATATCATTGGACATGACCCAACAATGGTCCTGGCGGGGCGATATGCCTCTTAAGGTCCTGGATTACCAAGAGCAACAGCAAAGCACTCGTCCGCCTCCACTGACGAGTGGTGCACTATGGCCATGGAAAAATTTCCTGTATCTCTATGGCGGTACCACAAGTAGACTCAATGATTCCTTTGTTGGCTACGCTGCCCCTACTACGGACGACGCTGTGATGTGGAAATACGATGTAGAAAAAACAACATGGGCCCCATTCAGCTTTCAAAATAATTCGGCAATAATGCCACGCTTGTCCAACGGCGCAAGCACTGTTGTCTCAAGCCAAGGACTTGCGTTTCATCTTGGCGGTGTAATCGATAATGGAACGCTACCTGTATCAGAATCAAATATCACATCTGGGGTTTCATTCGTTAACTCCTTCTACGCATTCAATCTCACGGACGAAAGTGCCTCGAAACTCGGAACAGACGGCTTGGGTGATACATCTTACAGGGCAAATGCGCAGATGGTCAATATCCCTGATCTTGGTAGTAAAGGGATCTTGGTTCTCCTGGGGGGCGGTTACAAGAACCCATCCGCCAATAGTATGGACTGGAAAGGTTAGTTACCTCCGATCCTTGGTCAATGATAGTTCTAACGTGTATTTATATTGCATCAGGTGACCTGGTTTGTATTAATCCTTCCGCGAATAATGACCACAGCTTCCTTAGTAACAATAATAGATTTCAATGAGTAATATAGGCATTTTCGACATTAACTCCATCGCTGTCGGCGGAACTTGGTATAACCAAACTGCCACTGGCGACATTCCAAGCCCACGCATAGATTTTTGTATGGTCATTGTCTCCGCACCCGATAAATCTAGTCATAACATGTACGTTCCCGATTTAATTTATCGTATCATAATGGACACACCAAACTAATGTACAAAGCTTCATATATGGCGGTTGGGACGGTATTAATAATTTTGACCAAGTTTACGTTCTCTCGATACCCTCCTTCC